ATATCACGCACTTTACGCATGTGTAATGCCTAATACCGGTTTTGAGTCACTCACATTTGAGTCCAACTCAAAATGTGTCTTTGAATAGAGCTAAAAATCTAAGCAACAACTAGCACTAATCTTACAAATAGATAAGCATGAGTTTGAGCAAGTTTCTAGAATAGCTCTGTATGTGTTCATATAAGTGTCAATGTTTCAAAATACATTCATTAATTTTTTTATATATTAACATTTTATAAAGTTTATTATTTAGGGTAGCACAACGATCATATAAACCACTTTCTTCATTTATAAATTGTTGTAAAAACTGATGAATCTTTATGTTTATAATTTAAAATTTATTATTAAAACTGATAAAATTATTTTAAACAAATAATTAAAATATAAAATAAATTACTCATATAAAAGTTAATGCTAACAAGTTAAAATAATTAAATAAATACAAGTAGTAAATATTTTTATAATTAATTTTTATTTTTTCTTAGCATTTATTATTAAATAAAAGTTTATACAATTAATATTCCATTAAGAAGTCACACAAAATAAATGTTATGAACGAATAATCTTTCGAAGCGCACTATCATGAACAATATATCGCCTACGGTATTCATTATAGGTTTTTTCATCCAGATTAGGTGCTGCTAATTCCAAGTCACGCTTCAGAACACGCATTTTATTCAATTGCTCTTTTAAACTGTCGGCCCGTTTTTTATTGAGCTTCTCCGTCTTTTTGCGAAAATCATCGTACCTGTGTATTGTCGTGCGCACAATGTTTAGTAATTCCCCTCTGTTGGGAGTCTTGCCGGCAAAGTCTTGAGCTATAAAATAAACATGTTTAATCTCATTCGTTTAATAATTAGCATGATGTATAATCATTAGCAAATAGTTAATGAAATAATTAAATTAATGGAAGTGGAATAATAATTAACAAATTATATTCTGGCACAAAAATGATTAATTACGTTAGATTATGCATTTTCAATTAACTATGTGAGTTTATTTTGCAATCGAGAAACATTTTTAACATTTAATTATAATATCTGTTAATTATATGCTTAAAATAAATTAACCAGTAATAATTTCTTGAACAATTAATGTTTTAATTAATTTGTTAAACAATTAGTACTTACCATGTATGAGTACCGCCAAGCAAACAATTGCCAGCACGGTAATTTTCATGTTTAAAATTAATTTTCAATTTGTTTTAAAAATGTCAATCAAAATATTTGTTAAGCATTTAATGTCTAGATGTAAGTCTAGCATCCATTATAATGCAACTGATACAGTGCAACCTCAATATAAGGAACGGCCAGCAAAAGCACAGCAAAAGTGTTCACAATAGAGAGGGTTCCTCCAAGAGATGTATTATTATAAGTATAGAAAATCAAAAATATAATTCGAATCCGCTCCTTAAAAGGAGGTGTTCCCAAAGGGAAATTGTCTAAAGAGACGTTGCACTGTATTAACTATAATTTTAATAGTGAATTACATTTATAATTTAATTATGTATTACCATATTTGCGTTACTATAAATGTTAAGGCCTTATTGCCAACTCATCATTTTATATATTCAATTAATTAATTTGTATTTTAAATAACTAATTATTTATTTAATGAGATCATTTGTTATATAACTAGATAATCAAATTATCAAACTAATCAAATTGCAAAATATTTTAATTTCTTATCATGGCCAACACAGTTTATTTTCACAGACAAAAAATCAAATTGAAATAATTTTACTTTAAAATTATTACTGATATAACATAATTTATTTAAAAACATATTCAAACTATTTACTAATAAACATTACCCATATAAATTATTTGTATTAAACTCATAAAGTGTGAAAACATTTAACAGTTTCATAAAATAAGACTGTTAAATATTTAACATTTTAACATCCTAATATATTAATTTTAATTATACTTTATTATACTTTACTAAATTATATCCACTAAGAATTGAGACCAAATAGTGGACATTGAATTACCAAATACAGTGCAACTTCTCCATAAGGAACGGCCAGTTGCACGGCAAAAGTGTTCCNGCAACTTCTCCATAAGGAACGGCCAGTTGCACGGCAAAAGTGTTCCCTATAGAGAGGGTTCCTCCAAGGGAGGTTTTGTTATAAGTATAGAAACTCCAAAATATATTTCAAATCCGTTCCTCCAAAGGAGGTGTTCCCCCAAGAGAAGTTCCCCCAAGGGAGGTTGCACTGTATTCGATTGTAAGAAATTAAAAAGAATTTTGATAAAAACTACGAAAATGATTATTAAATATTGTAATTTTCTTATTAACAATAAAATCATTTATTATTAGTAGGTACTAATAATGTTTACATATTAATGTACATATTGAAATATATTGTTGTTTATAAATATATATATTAGTCAACCAGTTATGGAAGCTAAGATTGACCTAAAAATAGAGCAAAAATTATGTCTACTATTTGTCAACTATTTTAGAACAAAATATTTAAATTGTCCACGATTGAACATTTTTGAGTTGGCCACCTTACTTACACACTATATACTTGTATATGTATGACTGAGACGTAAATAAGCCTCCAGTTTTAGTATTAGCTTTTGATGTAAGCTGTAATCAATGCATACTTTTTGAATGCTTTAGTTTTGAAGTTTTAGTTTTACATGTAATTTTATTAGTTAGTAAACAATTAATTGTGTGTAAATCAATCAAAATACAATACTATTGATGACAATAAGTTTTTTGATAAAATAATAATTTGTTCCTATTTTTATTGATAACAATGAGTGTTACATTGCATAAAGTTATGCACTGCTATATCAAATACAGTACATAAGTAGTAAGCAGAACCCTAAAACTGGAGGCTTATTTACGTCTCACTCACTCATATACTCATTAAGTGTTCATAAACTATACGCTTGTTGTGCAATACAGAGTAATATTAAGTTATCATCCGACCAAACGCAAACATTTCTCAGGAAATCCATGAACCTCACTTAAAAAACAACCATCACACAGCGATGCTATACGTTAACCACTATTCAGAGGGGGAGGGGCAGCCGAACGATCTTATGAACCAAATTATTCATATCAGAATAGTGGTTAATAAAATATATTTTTGATGGAACTCTCTCTCCTCATCCATACCTTTCTATTGATATATAATATGACATGGTTATTTATAAAATAAATAATTTGATTTTCAAAATTTTACCGACAAAAGTGGTCACTACGGCCACACCCGAAAGTATCTGGACATATAAAGTATATCACTCGACTACCTATTGAGTGTACTTTCATTTTATCACAATAATTCCCGAGTGCCCGCTAACACACAGATGCGCATCCTCCTTTAGTATAAAGTTAATTATGACACAAAATAAAATTATTGCTAGTTTCATTGATAGCTTAGCATTACTTAAAACCGAAAGTATACGATGATTAATTATTTTATATAACACACACAAACTATATAAATAAATAATTACAGTTGGCTACAAAAACAAAACTTTTACTAACATGATATGGTCCGCATTTAATACCATCCTCCATATATTGTTCAAACACATCTACATTGCCGTAGCAATTAATAATATTGTTTATGAGCGTGGCGTGAGCTGGGTACGATCGGATAGTATTGTCCCTGGTGTTTGGCAGCTCGTCCCGGCAAAGGGCGCACTCAACTTTACACGGATTGGTGTATGTATTTTGACCGACAAAGCTCAGTTTGGCGGTCCCTGTGTTGTTAAACTTGGGAAACAGCTGTTTGCACCGGTCGGCCCGGTCTAGACTGCCAATGTATGGGGTTGGGTAAGCTATTATAATTAAATAATCATGATTTATTATTTTTACATATAATTTAATTATTGTTCTTTATTTAATTAGAATTTTAAAAATATTTTAACAATAATTCGGCATAATTATAAACTGTAAATTATCATTGCACATTATTATAGTGAGTATTTAAATATTTATACAGATTAGTATATTGGTGTGGTAAACAAGTATCTTTTATATTAATTTACATTTTAATTTTAAATAATAAGTATAGATTAAGATCTTGTGTTAAAACTATAATAATTATTTTAATACAGAGTTAAGTGAGTTATTGGTACAAGATTTAAGATAATATCAATTGTTAATTTAATTTAATAATTGGTTATTATTTATGTTATATATAAGTGTCACTGTAATCTAAATTATTAAATGTAATATGATTTTTTTTGCTAATATGAAATAATTTATATTTGAGTAGGCTATTTGTACAAATTAAAAATTAATATTAATTTTTAAATATTAATTAAATGATTTGTACCCAGATATTAATGTAGTGTATTGTTAAATTTAATGTGATTTTTCAGTAATTAATGTAAAATAAATTTATTGTAAACTGTAATTTATTAATAACATATTTTTATTATGGTTATTTAATAATTTGTTGAGTAATTATATTGGGCTAGAAATGATCGTATCTTATTTTTGTTATAAAAAACAAATGTTTCCACGAAAAAGTCTAATTGTACATTTTTAATTATTATTTTAAATACTGTATAGTTATATCTATAAATATAAATACTACCCTAGCTAAACACTTAATACTTATTTGTTTGGCTAAGTATAGCTGGAGTAAATTAGTGTAATAAATTAAAATATCAATAATACATACGTATTTCTTGAGCATTAAATCCACGGCAATGTTGTCCTCTAGGGTTACCAGCGGTCCCTAAATTCTGCGCCAAAATACTTGCGATATTTATTATTAAAATTATTAACAAATATTTAATTGATTTAATAAACATTTTTTATTGTGCTTATAAAGTAATGTGATAATTAGTAATTATAACTAAATATTAATTATAAAACTAATAATAATTTAGTTATTATATTTTATTTATTAACGACTCATTCAAATGAAATTATTTGTATAAGTAGTTAAGTATCACAATTTTAAAGACAATTTTATAAATTAGTTATTATTTCACGAATTGAAAAGTAAATTATTGTATTTAAGGTATTTTATTGAAAAATTGCCAAAAATATTATTAATATTAACAATATTTCAATGAAATTTACAATCTTATTAATTATTTTCAAAATATTATACTTATTTTACCAATAAAGTATTAATTATTACAAAACATCTATTAATTTTCAATCACAAAATAAATCAATGAAAACGCATAATTTTAGTCAAAAATATTGCGCAAATGTTTAGATGATTTTCATTAAAAAATAAGTTTTTTGTTAACATATACTAACAACACGTTTAAAATATATGTATTAATTAAATAAATAATATTAAATACAAATTCCCTATTAGTTCACTATAAAAGCTTTGAGAGCCTTATACACGATATGATGAACCAGATATTCAAATGGGTGTACACTGTATTACATACATATATTAAATCAGTCATTAAGGTAGAATGTTTATCACTGTAAAATTAATTAATAAATTGTTTATTAAAATAATTAAAAACTTATTTTATTGCCAAATACAATATTGTAACTTATACAAATTATCAAATGTACTTATACATTTTAACAAACATATATCTAGAAAGTGAACACATTAATCATAAGTTCATTAATTACGGACAAATATTTGATCGCAAGCATCGGTATCTTCCGGTGGGAGACACACTATGAATGACTCATCGAACACTGCGGTGGGCGGATTGCAATCAAACATGGTGGTGGCATATTTGCCCTTGCTCTTCGAGTGGCACCGGTAGAATTTGTGACAATCATTAGGGTTGCGGAAAAAACCTTCATCATCGCAACGAAGTTCCTGAGTCCAGTGATTGGGCACGTTTTGTGGGCTGGGAGTGGTCGATGTGCGCCATTTGGCCGCTTTCGGGAACAGGTCGGCCCTGGCCACGCAGCACCGGTTTTCGCATACCTACGTGGTAATTTTAAATTAATTAATTATTAGTTTGTTTTTCGTTCATAGACAAAATTTTTTTATTTTATCTGGTTATATTTACTGCCATTATATTGTTTGTTAAAATAAATTATTAAGAATATTTTTAAATCATTTTTAATTATTTTAATAATAAATGTTAATTTATCAATAATATATAAATTTAATCTAGTTTGTTGTGATAGAACAAAATTTTTAATTTGATTGGCAAATTAAAGTATATATAAATTATGTGTGATCTAATATTAAGTCCGAGAGTTAGTTTGACTAGGTAATTTTATATTACACACAAAATATATAAATAAATAATTACAGTTTGCTACAAAGCAAAACTATTACTAACATGATATGGTCCGCATTTGATACCATCCTCCATATATTGTTCAAACACCTGCACCGAGTCGTGGCATTGAATAATCTCATTTATGAGCGTGGCATGAGCTGGGTACGATCGGATAGTATTGTCCCTGGTGTCTGGCTCCTCATCCTGGCATAGGGCGCACTCAACTTTACACGGATTGGTGTATGTATTTTGACCGACAAAGCTCAGTTTGGCTGTGCCTGTGTTGTTGTACTTGGGAAATAGCTGTTTGCACCGGTCGGCCCGGTCCAGACTGCCAATGTATGGGGTTGGGTAGGCTATCATGAGTTAAATAAACATGATTTATTATAATTGCATAAAGAATTTTGGTGATTTGCTAATTCATTGGCATAATTATAAACTGTAAATTATTATTTTACACTTTTATAATGGGTATTTAAATATTTATAAAGTTTATAGATTTGGTAACATCAATAATGGTTTATTTGTTGATTATCATTTACATTTTAATTTTAAATAGAGTATATATTATGACCTTGTTAAAACTTGTCTTACAATCATAAACATAATTTTAGAACTAATTAGATGAGTATTGGTAAAAGGTTTTTATTTATATTAATTGTTAATTTAATTAAATATTTTTTAAATATATAAGTTTTACTGTAATTTAAATCGTTAAATATAATATGAATTTTGAATTAATTATAAATTAATATAGAATAGTGTAATGTATAACCTAAAGTATTCTTTGTGTAAATTATAAATTAATATTAATTTTTAAAATATTTATTAAGTTGTACAGATTTTGTTTTGTAATGTATTGTTAAATATTGATAGAATAGATTATTCAATAAACTATTAGAAAATTAATATATTGCAAACTGTAATATATTACTATTATAGTTTATTATGGTTATTAAATAATTTGGTGGTTAGTTAAAAAAATGGGGAATACACATGTAGGCATGAAATAATGCAATTGTACATTTCTATTTATTTTTTTATTTAATTTTTATTTTAAATACTGTATATATACATCTATAAATATAAATACTACCTATTTTACCACTTAATAATTATATGATTTGTCAATTATAACGGGAATAGAGTGTAATCAATGTAATTTATTACAATATTAATACATACGTATTTCTTGAGGCTTAAATCCACGGCAATGTTGTCCCCTAGGGTTACCAGCGGTCCCTAAATTCTGGGCCAAAATACTTGTGACATTTATTATTAAAATTATTAAAAAACATTTAATTGATTTAATAAGCATTTTTTATTTTGCTTATAAATTAATGTAATATCTAGTAATGAATTATTAATTATTAAACTAGTAATTATTGTGTTATTTAATAACCAAGTATTCAAATTAAAGGATTTATATCAGTTGCTAATTATCACAATTTTATTAATGTATTATTACTTCACAAAATTTAAAGTAAATTATTGTATTTTCGGTATTTTATTGAACAATTGCCAGAAATATCTTTAAAATTAACACTATTTCAATGAAACATAAAATCACGTTAATTATATAAAATCTTATTTCACCAAAAAATTATTTATTATTATAAAACAGGTATTAATTTTTTACTCAAAAAATAATTTACTAAAAAGAGCATAATGTTTGAATGATTTTCGTTTAAAAAATAAGTTTTTTTTCACTTAACATATAAGACAAGGAAAATATAAAATACTGACAACACGTTTGTAAATATACATGTTTTTAAACACAAAATCTCTATGAGTTCAGTATACAGTACATGGGTTTTAGTACATTATACGATGTTATGATGAACCAGATATTCAATTGGGTGTACACTGTATTACATACATGAATTAAATAGTGGTTTAGGGTGGGTGGGCGGCCAAACAGTTACCATCATTAAATAACACAAAAAAACATTCATTTACAAAATAATTAAACAATTATTTTATTTAAAAAACAAAAAAATATTGTAGCATAAATGCCATACACATAAATGTCAAATGCCATAAAGTAACATGTTATAATAAACATTAACTCATAACATCCTAGGCTGAATCAGGGCGACCATAGGCTGAGTCATCGCAAAAAGCCTCGGTATCTTCGGGGGCGACACACACACCGAATGACTCATCAAACACAGCGGTGGCCGGATTGCAATTGAACAGGGTCTTGCCGTAAGCGCCCTTGCCACCGTTGGAGTGACATCGGTAAAATTTGTGACAATCATTAGGGTTGCGAAAAAAGCCGTCCTCTTCGCAGGGCAGCGCTTCAGTCCACTCAACCGGTATGTCCTGAGGGGGAGGTGTAGTTGTGGTGCGCTTTTTGGCCGCTTTCGGGAACAGCTCCGGGTGGGCGACACAGCATCGATCTTCGCATACCTGAAATATTAATAAAATAATTAATAATTAATGTAGATAATTTATTTATAATTTATATAAATTTTATAACGTAATGTTAGATTAATTAGCATTAGAGTGATGCAAATTAATATAACAATTTAATAAATAAAATAAAGATTAGTAATAAAATGTGATTCTTTTTACAAAATTAATTTTACAGTATTTAGCATTAAAAATTATGTATGTAATTTGATTCCCATTACCAAAACAACACAATGCTCATTTATTTATTTATTACTATAAAATAAATTAATATTATTTACAGTTAACAAGCAAAAATAATTCACATACATGTAATGGACCGCATTTAACACCATCCTCCATATACTGTTCAAAAATCTCTACCGAGTTCTGGCATTTAATAATATCGTCCTTAATTGTTATATGAGCTGGGTACGATCGGACAGTTTTGTCCTTGGTGCCGGGCATCTCATTATCGCATAGGGCGCACTCAATTTTACAAGGATTGTTATACGTGTTTTGGCCGACAAAGCTCAGTTTGGCGGTGCCTGTGTTGTTGAACTTAGGGAATAACTGTTTGCATCGGTCAGCCCTGTCCAAAGTGCCAATGTACGGGGTCGGGTAGGCTATTAAGATAGATTATTGGACAGGTGTGATTATATAAATATTTAACTTGTTATAATAAGATTTTATTGTTTATATTGTAATTAAATGAATTAAAATAATTAAAGACTTTATACAGTGCAACTTCTCTTGGGTAAACTTCTCTTGGATGAACCCTGTCGGCCAAAACACGTATAACAATCCTTGTAAAATTGAGTGCGCCCTATGCGATAATGAGAT